TAGGTAATCATCCTTAGTAAATGGTAATGATTTTAATACATAGCACTAAATAGAGTAGTCAGTTTAAACAGGTAAGTAAAAGTGAGGAAAATATGTGAAGCAGTTAATAAACAAAAAGCATTTTAAATGTACAGAGTAAAAGATCAGAAAAGGACTTCTGTTAGTTTTGTTGTATGAATAGGTATCATTGCCCTAGGCAAAGGGAATAAACTGGATATAGCCCTCTATCCCACTATGTACCTTTTTATTTTATTTTGTTACTATAAATTTCTTAGTCATATGTGGACTACATTACTAACATTTATTAACATTTATCTATTGAACAACATTTTCTTGTGACGACTTGCCAGTTGAATTATGAACCTTATTACACTCCTTTTATTTCCCACCATGATGTACTATAAGCATTGTTACTGCTCTGTAATAGTTGATAAAATGATTCATGGAGATCAAACAACTCACCCAGCATCACAGATAGTACATGAGAAAGTTATCATTGAAATCTAAGGCTGGTCTGTGTGTCAGAGACCCGTTTGATACCATGTCTGATTATGTGTGAAAATGAAACCTCCAGACTCACATAAACATGCACACAAGCTAATCTGTTAGTGAAATGACAAGTCTGGACTTTGTCACTGTGCCTTGGAATCCTCATTTATTAACCTGTGCACCTAACTTTACTACTTCTTTCCCATTGTTTATTCTCCTACCCTGTCACATGGAAGTTCATTCTATACTGTAAAGATCAGTATGAGAAGAAAGATTTGAACTATACTTAGCTCATGAAGCATTCATCACATATTTTCTGTTTCTTTTATTCAGGTTCTTTTATGTGAAAAGAGAAAAAAGTTTTAGTTTTGTCCCCTTTATTTTAATATTGATCTCATGTAAATAATGATAATCAGTTTTTCATGAAAAGTATCTGGGCAGACAAATGTATTCAGATGGGCACAGACACTAAAACCTTGCCTTCCATTTCTACAGTTAATTGAGATGTACAGAGTGATGGGTGTGGTGTAAAAATAGAAAGGCAATTAGTGCAACTAGGCATAAAATACATTCAAATACAAGCAGAAGGTCTCCCCAGTTAGTGAACTCTTTTTGGGCTCTTGAGGATTTGCATTCCATTTGTAAGTCACTGGAATGGAAATCTTCATCCTTTCGGGAGACCAGAGCATTAAAAATGGAATTCACTCTAACTTCAAACTGAGTCAACACAATAAGTCATTAATTCTACTGCTTGGGTATATATATCATGCTAAGCTTTAGTGTGTGGGCTTCTGAAATGTTAGGAGTGAGTTTATAGAGCATTATAAGAATTAAATGGGTATCTATCATTCCAACCTTTCTCTTTCATCACTGAGATACTAACATCTCTGTTGACTCAAAACCGGTATTGAAATACAGGCAAAAATTTTTGCTATAAATAATGGGTATGGACCTATACTTAGAGAAGTTGTATATTGTACCTGTTGATATATGTAACACTTTATGGAATATCAGTGGTTCCTAGTTTTTAAAAAGCTAAATTCTTGATAAAGATAAAAATATCACAATGCCTCAAATATTATCCTTCCCCAAATTAAGAACTATATCTTTTTGCATATCTCCATAACCAATAGAAGTTGATCAGTGTTGCTTTCTCTGGAAATACCAATGGTATTAAATATGCCTTAAAATATATGTCTAAATATAAAATACATTGAAATATTAAATATTTTCAAGCTACCTACAGCACTTCCTGATTTCTGGTACTCTTTCCTTTGCCCCCTTACTTTCGTAATCTCTTTGAGAATCTCTGACAGGTATTACCTCCTTTGATCATCCCAGTGGAGTACAGATATTAATAACTGCCACTTGCTGATTGCTTACCCCAGAGTTTCTCACAGTTGGCTCTGTTGGTATTTGGGTCCAGATAATTGGGAGGGCTGCAAGGTGTTGCAAGGTGTTTAGCAGTATCCCTGACTTCTACCCATTAGATTCTACAAGCACCTCACCATACTGACAAACAAAAATATTTCTAGACATTGCCAGTTGTCCCTTGGCATCAAAATCTTTCCAGGTTGAGAACCACTGTTTGTCTTCTACAAGACATTTCATTTGATTCCACAATAACTTTGCAAAATATGCAGGACTGAGTTTATCAGTCTTGGCGGGGAACAAAATCTACACAATACGGGTCGTAGACTTTTTGAAAGGACTGCTTACAACCACTTAGGGATGTTGAAGCACCCAGAAAGTAGCAATGGTGAGAAGCCATTCACACCCCTACGGCTGAAGAAGCAAGGAGAGGATATAATGTTTCTGAAGTGCTAGGAAAGCTGAAACCATGGAGCAGAGGCACCCAGAAGCAGATGAAATGAAGAAGAGACAAGCTGTAGCAGAGAGAACATAGAGTATTCTGACCTCTCCCTGCTCAGTCTTTTGTGATCATTAGCCAGTCCTACTGGTAGATTGAGCCCGATTGAAATCCAACCAGCAAAGGACTGGAATGATGCAAGCCCAGGATTCAGCCCCATGGGGTTGGAGAAAGAAAGAAAATGGAATCTCTTGGGACAAATGGAGGAAAAAAAAATACTACCCCAATTTTAACAGGGGAAACAGGTTTAAAGATAAAAAGTAATTCACCCAAAGCCAAATAGCTAATGTGCAGACCAGGTATTTAAATGCACATCTACTTTGCCCTGAGCACTACAATCACCATGGCTGATTTGCATGGATCAACTGACATTCAATGAAAATATGAATTAGTCAAGGTTATTGATTTTAGTAGTTGATAGGCGCAAGACCAGAACCCTTTTCATTCCCATTCTGGCATTCCTTTTTTTTTTTTTATTTTTATGTTGACCATTGTAAGATATTTAAGAGCCATTCTCAGATAAACATAGGAATGAAACTATCTGCCAACCTGAAAAGTCATTTTTTCTGAAAAGCTTACAGAATTCTAGGTTTCATGTAGAATGTTTAAATGGCATATGCTGTTTTTCCAAGCTGTTGGCACATTTTTGTCTTGATTGCAGAAACTCAGCCCCAGGTGGTACAACGCGTTAAGAGAAGGAGGAGGACTGGACTAAAATCAGGAGACTCAGGGCCCAATCCTGGCTCTGTCATTCCTAGCTTTGCAACCCTAGTAACATTAACAAAAATTCCATAAACTGTTCTTACCTTTTGCATTCACCCAGATCTTCACAATTATTCTCAGGCATCAAAGCACATGGCCACACTGTAATATAGGGAAGGTGTTATATTTTGAGTTTTGCAAATAAATAGTCAGTCTCAGAAAGCACTAGAGTCACATTGAAAATGCCAGAGCTGGAAAGCAGTGTCATGTGGTCTCAGCTCCACATCTTGCCACTAAAAACATACTGCCTTTTCTACTCTACCTTTGGAAGTAATTAGTCAATTGATTTACTCCCTCTGAACAGCCAATCTTAGCATTTAATCCATTGGATTTTATCATAAAGTTACAGCTAGATCAAAGTCTGAGAATCTGTCATTTTTGTCCTGGTTTATAAACAAGGCTAGAGTGGATACCAATATAGTTAGTGCATAGGGATTCCTCATTTTTTCCTTTCTAGGTTTCAGATGAATGTTTATTAACCTTGAGCTTCTCAGGGATGAACTGATGTTAAAGGAATTTTAAAATAAATATATAAAGGGAAACAAATCTAAGTAAATTAATACAGTCCTATTTCTTCTCTTTAATCCTGGGTGAATTGGATGTTAGTTATTCAGATTCAGACTTCTCCACTAAGCTAAAATAGTTTGACACTCTTGGAAGGCCTGGCAAGAACCTTATTCCTTTCCTCCAAACTGTTTATATTCTTTACCTTAAGGTGGAGGCCCAGGAAGTAATGCATTTCAGGTCTGTAGTCTCTGACCTTCTTGTTCTCAGTCCTAATCTCTGTCACCCCCACACCCCATTTTCTACTATTACTATATTTCTAGGCCCCCATTTTCAATATTTTCGGGCATAAAATTTTTTAAATTAGCAAAATTAACTTTTTTTGGTAACTGAATATTTCTTCCAAATTCCTATTTCACCTGCAAGGTTCCCCAGAAACTTAGAATACAAGGGCTCTCAGTCCAAGGTAAAGCTGCAGAGAAGGGAAAGAAGAAAAGAAAAAGAGAAAATTAAAGCATAAATACTTGAAATCTAAAAGCAAAAAAACAAAACAAAAAACAAAGAAAACAGTTTTAATTCTACTTTTGATATCCTTTGTTTCTGGCAAAAATATAAAAAGCTTTGGAAGAAAATGTTTTCACTGGTCAAAAATTCTAGCTACATCTAACACTGTGTCCAATACTTATGATGAATCATGCTTTGGAAAAACAGTCTTAAAATTCATAGGCTTTTCATACAAAAGAAAAGGTAGAGGAGCAGTATTTTTAGTATTTAGAAGAATAAATTGGAGGTAGGCTACTTAGGTAAAGATTGTGGCTTCATCCCTTTTTACCTGTGTGACCTTGGGCAAGTTACTTACCATCTCTGTGAATATGTTGTTGGTTACCTCATTGATATAATCCAGGTATAAATAAAATCTATTCCATATAGATTTTTCATGGCTAAACAAGTTAATATTGATAAAACATTTGTCACAGTAGTAAAACATGGAAATAACTATATAGATGTCAGTTGTCATCAGGAACATCCTTTTTTTCATTATCTTCATCAACATCACCACCACCACCACTACCATCATCCTACTACACAGACTCAATCTAATGTTACCATTCCTCTAAAGCATAATTACTTAAAAACCTAATAAATAATGACTAATTATGTAGCATCACTATTTAGAACAGCTTAACCAAAGTAGTAACATATTTATGAATAACACACATTTGTATTTTGGAACATATAACCAACCTGGAACTTCCACCTCCAAGACTGGGCCACCCTTCCTTTCCAGTTGATTTTATAGTCAGTGTATAGAAAGTTTTATTCATAGTGATACTCCTTGATTTGCTATTATCCAAATGAGTATAATTTCTCAGGATTTCAACTTAGAAAGTTTTGACAAAGAAATATTTCAGGAGTAAGAATTAGACATAAATTTTATGCTACAGTGGTATCTTCCTGTTACCAGAAGTCAGGCCAGAGTCTCTAAAACACATCAGGGTACTGTTTTTGTGGTTATTGAGTTTCACCCTTGAGAGAATTAAAAGGGCAGACAATGAACTATAATAAATCTTACTCTGACCCAAACAAGTGATTAAACTTCCCATTAAAAATCCCAACCTGGCTAGATAAAATAAGTAGAAAACTTATATTTGCCGTTTTTTTATTCACAAGAGCAATTGGCTCTCTATTTTTTAATTTCTATCTATTTTCTTTGTCTCAATCCCCAGCTTCTGAGCCCAACTTGAAGGTGCGGTCCAGGTTAAAACAGAAAGTGGCAGAGAGGAGAAGCAGCCCCTTACTCAGGCGGAAGGATGGAAATGTTGTCACTTCATTCAAGAAGCGAATGTTTGAGGTGACAGGTAATTGAGGACTGGGTAGACATACACTAAAAAATGCTGGTAGTAGGAATGAAAAAAAATAGTTTAGAATAAATATGCCTGTTGCATATTACAAGTTATTTTGAGGAGAAACATTTCTTGAAAGGAAGTTACATTGAAAACTCACAAGTAGTTCAGTAAACCTTGCCATGCATTCACTGTCTTAAACAGGAAATGAATGAAAAACAGAACTATGTGTCAATCTAGGTATAACTAGGGAATGCCAAAGCTCACCTTCATCTTTTCAGAAACAGGCAGTCCATTTTGGGAATGCCAACCAGGAGAATGTAACTTTTAATGAAATTTGATCAGAAATGAGCCGAGGGAGGTCCAAGAAGAACACTTCCCCCATACTCAGACATTAATGTACAAAATACATCTGGGAAAATTAAACTATGTGGAACAGCAAAACCTTGACTTTTCAACAAATTTACAGAACTCATAAATGACTTTATGTGTTTACTAGTGAACTGGGACTTAAATGGCAGGAGAGGGATATATTGCTTTTTATGAAGGAAAAGAAACTGTCATTTTCACTAGTCTCAAATGGAAGAGTTCTTGTTATTTTAGCTGCCTAGTTAGTAGTGGGGTGAACAGGTTAGGAAATTCAACCTGATGTCTTACAAAGCCCCCTAGTCCCAATTGTACCTGGTCTGAAATTAGAGAAGACCTAGGAATACAAGAACCAAAGAGGCTAGCCAAAATAATAATACTGACTACTGTTTATTGAGTATCTAACTTAGAGCTATGCATTAGATGTGGTCATTTCTTTTGGTTGCATCAATAAAGAGGTGGTAATTTGCAATCATTGTTCTCCATTCTCAGGGAAACTCGTGCTTATACTAATGCAGTCCGTTGATATTATTTCTCCAAGATCAGATCTTATCCTAAGCAAGTTTTAAAAAACTATTGTTTTTCTGTATCTCTTTAGGCCATGAGAGCACCGAGGTTGGGGAGACAATATGGAGAAGATTGTGGAGGCAGAGGCAGAAAAGTACAGAAGCTAATGCAACTTAGTAGTTTGACAGGTTATTTAGGAGAAAAAAAATGTTTAGTCTCCTGTTCAGTTCGGACAGATTAATGTGTTTATACGAAGAAAAGCATTAGTGGGAAAATTTTTCCTTGAGGGATAAGAAATATTAAGCAAATAAGTAAAAATTATTTTGCTAGAGTTTATGTTTATTTTCCAGTATCAAATATAATCACTAACTTAGACCAGTTGAATTCTAAATTCAAAGTTACAGACTTTGTTTTCAAGAAATATATTTGTACTTAAGTAGAAACCTGAAGTTTTCATAATAGAGGTTGATGGAGATGGGGGTTGGGGAGTGAATGTCTTTTAATGAATGTAAAGAGTAATGAACATATCAGTTGTCTAATATAAATATATACAGGTGATATGTCAGATAGGAAAGAGTAGGCTCCCTGGTAAAAGAAAACTTGAAAAAAAAATAGAATACCATATACAATCTTTTTTTTTACCTCATCTTACCATCTAAGGGAATATATATTTATCCCAACATTTTTTTTCTATTTTCCTAGTAATCTCTTATCTTGATCTTTCTCTACAGTCACTTTTTCTTTGTTACCAGATGACAGTGGAATTCAGCTCAATATGTATATGAGTAATGAGTAATTCTCATTTATAGAAGTTACGATTTGCTAGAGCTTTACTTAAGTTTCTTTACTTTTGAAATATCACATTTTTTTCTTCATGATTTTGAGAGGTAGTGACCCCCTTTTTCATCTGAGGAGATGTGTATTCAAAGGGACTCTTGTGCCTTTATTAGACACACATTTCTCAAGTCCCTCAGTGAGCTGGGACTTGGCACTTTGATAGATACTTTGAGTGGGTGTGTTGCACTTGTTCCCAGTGTCTTTGGCGGATCTGAAATACTGGCCACGCAGCATTCTTCGCCTGTACTCCTTCCTCTTGCTCTGCAGCTTTCATGCAGTTGGGATGAGCTCTAATTGGGTCTTAACATTAATTATTTTTGTTAAATAAAAACCATCACATCATCACAGCAGTTAAATTGCAATTGCTTGTTCTTCTCTCCTCTCTTGCTCTCTCCTCTCTTCCATATGCTTTTTCCAAACCCAGGCCATCTCTGGCCTCCCAGTAGTTGTCATGAGAACCACCTGTCACTTTTTCAAATTCCAGGGTTTTCTCTCCCTCTCTCCAACAACACCATGTTGTTTCAAAATTCTAAGCCTTGGCCCATCCCTGTGCCCACACCCCAGTGCCTTTTCCTCTACTCTCTCCTTCTCCATTGCCCCATTTCTTGAACTCCTCTCCTTTAAGCCCCAGTTGCTATACCATTCCTTAACTGAGATTTTCTGTATTCCCAGAAAATCAGTTGCTACCTCCTCTCCAGACTCTACACCGTGTGATGTTGAGAATCCTATTACAGAATTTGTTGCCTTACATTCTTGTGCTTATCACAGTGATTTCTACATAAGGAAATACTTCTGTCTGAATATCACATAAAATGACATAAATAATATAATTTTAAATTGACAAGATGGAATGTTTAAGAAAATAGATTTTTTTCAAGACAGGATATGGAAATGCGACATTAACAAGAAGTGAGTTTTGAGTTACACAGGAAAGACAAGACTCAAGAGGGGAGGGCTCCTGGAAGAATTTTTCAAATGTGCATTTTCCTCATTAAAAGAAAAGTAAATGAGAAAGAGGTGAAGATAAACAGTAGATTAATAGAAATGTACACAAGATATATAGACAGACATGCAGTAAGCAAGAGGTGTTTAAGAACTTTATGGTATCAATGACTCAATGAAATCCCATAGTAAGTAGGAGATAGCAACACAATTTTGTCACCAATCTCAAGTTCTTTCCATCAGTGCTGGATTTCTGAGTTGGGAAATATTCATAATAGAAAGTTGAAAGATACAGGTGTATGACAATCAAATATTGCCTGCAAATTGAGAGTTCTGTTTACTGGGGTACAGAGGGTACATGAGCCAGACTTTGAGCTTAGAGTTGGAATAGGACATGCGTTGAATGGGCAGAGGAAAAGAAGTATAAAAATGATGAAATGGGAAAGCAGCACTGGACAAAGGGTAGGCAATTTAAATTTGACTGAATGAAGAGTACAGAGAAGGCAGTAGTAAGAAATAATGTTAGGCTCCATTTCAGAGTAGAGGAACGTGGTAAAAGCTGTCTCACTATAATCCATCTGGAAATGTTTAGAAGAAAATTTTGAGAGACCACTTTAGCAACTCAGAAATATGAGGAGCCTCTTTCTATAGTCCATGAGAGGATAATAAGGGCTTAGGGATTAAACTGAAATGATCATAGTCAGAAGTAGATGAGAGAGAGCATAAAGAATGAAATGAAATGACCTAGTAACTGGTTAGACTTGGGGTAAAGAAGGGAGTGAGCATGACTCTATGGGTGGTGATAAACAGAGATAGTAGGCACACGTAGTAACACTGAATTTTATAGTCACGTAAAGGGAGTTTAAAATGTCTGGCATTCCGAAGAGACTCAGGCTAGAATTTATGAGAGGCAAAGGCAAGAAAGAGAACTTTCATGAGAGTGTTCTGGAGTGTTGTACCTAAAAATGATAATTGA